TCTGTTTTTATTTTTAAGTATGTTAATTTTTTTTTTAAAGGAAAAAAATTACCATCACTTTTCCTAATGTGGTTTGAGCAAGGCTATGGTAGTTGACTTCCTAGAATGGTGGGTTTCATCATCTGGAAAACTACTTGACTGAAAGGTCTGAAGCACAGAATGGTATGGGAGATATCCTCTTCTATGGTGTGCTCTCAGTATCTTCTCTTCTACTGTAATATGTTTCAAGCATGGAACAGTATAGGAGGTGATGAGGAGGGGGTTCTTAGGGCTTCTGCTTGGTGAAAGCCTTCATATGATCTATCAGTTCGGTTACTTCTGAACATGGGTCTGTGCTTCTGAAAAAACATTAAAACCATATCCAATAATAGTCTACATGACAGGTTGCAGATATAGAGGAGGGACTTGGGATCAAGCAGGAGGGAGATATTCTGACATCTGCTCCACACTCATAACCCATCAATCAGGCTGTTTCTTGATGCAGGTTTAGTGCACTTTTGAAAGAGTGCTAAACCCTGTACTAAATTGGTGTTTGCAAGGGGCTCACTTAAGACCACACAGGTACATTGGAAAGCACTAATCAGATATTACTGTCCAGAATCTAGGAGTCTACTCTCTCATGCAGCCCAGCCAAAATGGAAGACAGCTCTCCTGCAGGAGCATAAAGTGGCCAGTAGGAATTTGCTAGATCTCACCACCTTATTGGTGTTGTCTGCTAGATCAGTGTTTCTTAATTTTGGCGACTTTAAGTCCTGTGGACTTAAGTCACCAAGGTTGAGAAACACAGTGCTAGATCATGTTCATGAGAAAAATTATGCCAGGAGAAAACAGGAAGCACTATTGGAAAATTGGAACAGCTAAGGATGACCCAATTTGGCAGAGATATGAGATGAGGATGAAGTAGACAACATCATGTGACACATGACAGAAAAAAATTGTTATTGGAGCATGTTTGTGCCACCATGAAAAAGTAACAAGGGATTCTTTTAGAAAGCTTACTATTGTGGTTGTATCTGCTTGGTAAAAGCTCTGACAATTGCAGGCAGATTCAGTAAGGGCACCTACCTCAGTAAAACAGGTCAGGTTCATCTAGCCCAAGACCTTTAAAAAAAAATTACATCAATGAGTGAACATCAAAACACTAAGACTCAGTTGAGCTATTTCACAATTTCCTCTCCTCACATTCTCTATAGTGGTGGTTGCTTGGGTTAACAATAGTTGCATTTATAACATGATGTTGTCCTTGTAAATTGACATATAAGGGAGTATCATGAGCTTAGGTCACCTGCTCATACAGAGGAGGTTTCATTCTTTTTGTTTTAATCCTTCCATTCTTTTGGATGTTCACTCAGGAGTCGTATTTGATCATTTGTGGAAAGCAGTATCCTGATGTTCTGCCAAATATTGGCCGTGGTAGAATTACTAGAAGTGGTTAGGAAACAATAAAGGCAGTGTGTCTTCCATTAGATGATAGAGAAAGAGGATGGTTTCATTTTTATAATGTAATTATGTATATAGGTCCTTACCTGTTAGAAGTAAGAAAAAAGACTCTGTTTCTCTGTGGAGTGAGAAACTTTATGCTTTTGGTCAATTGTTGTTCCAGAGATGGGCCATCTTTTCACTGTTAGAGTTATGGATAGAGTTCCATCAAGATCTCTAGCATGATTTTAAATTCAACAAAGATGCTTATTTTATTTCCATTTCCTTCAGCTGATGCTCTTAACTTCCATGAATTTTCTTTTCTCCCACCCTTTCTGTCTCTCGATTACTCTATAGCTGCGCCTTTTCCTCTCTGTCTAATGTGTTGGATCTATAAATTTCAACCTCAGCCAGTATGGGGCAATGGGAATCATAGTCCCATTTGTATGAGTCTGTAAACACCATGTTGGGAAGCCTGCCAAGCCATATACACATAAATATATTTGCTAAAGGTGCTTTATAACTATAAGGGCATTTTTGGAAACAATTGTTTAATGGATATAATGCACATTTAATCTAGCATGTGAAGCAACCACTCACCATGTAGAAGAGCAACATAAATAACTTTGGCAGAGATGCAAGTGACTCTATTCTCAAATATGGCCAGGGTCATGATTCCAACAAGTCAGGAACTAATAGTTGCTGAAACTTTCTAAAATAAAGATGTTACATTTTGAATTTTTCCACTTCTACACATGTAAGAAACAATTTGGTCAGATGGCCCTTGAGTGGAAGAAATGCAGTTTAGATTGTTGTTGTTAGTTGCAAAGTTGTGTCTGACCCATTGTGACCCCATGGACAACATTCCTCCAGGCCTTCCTATCCTCTACCATCCTCTGGAGTCCATTCAAGCTCACGGCAACTGCTTCGGTGACTCCATCCAGCCACCTAATTGTCTGTAGTCCCTTTCTTCTTTTGCCCTCAGTCGTTCCCAGCATTAGGTTCTTCTCCAGTGAGTCCTTCCTTCTCATTAGGTGGCCAAAGTATTTGAGTTTCATCTTCAGGATCTGGCCTTCTAAAGAGCAACCCTCCAAGAATTCTCAGCTATGACCACATTGGTTGTGGAATTCTGGAAATTCAATNCTTGCTCCTGTGTCATTCTGATCCTTAGGAGAAAAAAGCCGAGGGTAGTAACTGAAGCCATTCTCAGCTGTTCTCCCTATCACATTTTTCAGTAAGCTACAGCTAGCTGGGGAATTCTGGGAGTAGAAGCCCATATACCGGTATCTTAAAAGTAGATGAATTTGACAAACACTAATTTAGTTGTAGCTCTTTTAAAATAATAAAGTTGCTAAACCAATATGGTAAAGTGAGTATCAAAAAAAATTATTACCTGATTGTCCTATGTTCATTTGAATAGAAAGATGAAACATCAAGCTAGATATAGCATTTTTCTATGGAAAAACCATAATTTGAATTGAGAAATTCAGACAAGAAGAAGAGATTAATCTTCACCCTGAGGTTCCTGTTTATCTTTGGAAGAAAAGCATACAGTAATCATATTACTACTTCCTTGGCCAAATAAAGGCTAACCCTAACCCTTATTTTAATTAGAGGGGGGGGAGTTTCACTCCTCACAATATGTCATAGCCATAGCCAGGATCTCTCGGTTTCTCAGCCTCTAATCGTCATCAGTTTAAATGCCACATCTGGAAACACACAGCAACTAAGTAATTATAGCTTAATTGCAAGAATGTATGCTAGTCCTCAAGTTTTTATTAAGCCACTAACAAGCATGGCTTGAAAGACGTTAAGTTGTTCATTTCTCCTATCAGCCAGGATAAGGTCATTATTATTAGATTTGATTATGAACTCTAAACAAATTTTATTGCCTCTGGAGTTAGATTTTAAGAACTGGCATTTTATTCCACTGCATATGACTTAGCAATATGAATCAAACTGCATTGCTTGCAAATATTGACCCATTCTCATGTTATGAATATCTACAAGCTTCAAGGGCTTCCTTATTAATTTGCAAAACAATGTTCTTGTGTGGTGCTCTGCTTCTACAGATCGAATCTGCCCACTGAAAAGAGAAACTCAGATGGTTTAGAGAACAGTAAAAGCAGAAATCATTCCAGTTTGCAATGCTAATGGGCAAAGTCCATTTAGATGAAGTGATTTCCATTGGATACTCCTACAAGCCTTTTGTTTTGAGCATCAGATAGGGTCACCATATCATATGGCCCCAAGCTGGCAACAAAGAGGTACTGGAAATTCTTAACTCTTTTTTGGCTAATATTATAGAATAACTTAGCTACTGCAGGTCTGAATTGGAAATACTTTCAAATTATAAAAGATAGAGCAAGATTAAGTAATACCATAGCAGAAATGAAAGACCACTAACCTTTGCTTTAGTTGAAAACGTGCCGGTCTTCTTGGTGCTTTTTTCAGGGATTGAATCTTGTTCTTGATCGTGACCCGTCAAAAGCGCGGACGGCAAAAGCNCTGCTGCTCCTCCTCCTCCTCCTCCTCCTCCTCCTCTTCTTCTTCTTGTTCTTCTTCTCTTCTTCTTCTTCTTGTTCTTCTTCTCTTCTTCTTCTTCATAGTAGTAATAATAGTAATAGAATGTATACATGACAGCCGCAACCATTGTAGTGTTTTAGCTAGCAGTCTTTGGAATTTTATTTTTAATTCTTAACTAAGAAACCTATGAATCAAATCAAAAGGGTGTTGAATCTATATCCTAATAAGTTTGAGAAACTGAAAAGCAATGCACGAAGCCATTTCAGTTTACATTTTTTCTCCAGCACTTTGGAAATAGAGCTTCACACCCTTCAGCCTTTTCTCATAAGAAAAATGCATGAACTGTTTATCATTTCCAAAGAAGTGATAGTGATTAGAAGACATTGTCAATATGGTGTAATAATTAAGATGCTGGTCTGGCATTGGGGAGAGTCAAGTTCAAATCTATCTTTATAGAAGCTCACTGGGTGATTTTTGGACAAATGATTCTTTGTCAGCAAACTGTATCACACAGGTGGTTGCAATAGGAAAAAGGAGGAAAGCCTAACAAATACATAAACTAAAAATTTATCTACTTAAAGCTTTAACTACTCAATTACAAATATTGGCTTTTTGTAGTGATCTGTTTAAATTCACACACCGAAGCTGAATTCTGATAATAAATTTCAGAATTCAGAAGATTAGTATGTAGATAGGATGGATACATATCAGGGGTGAAATTCAGCAGGTTCTGGCAGTTTCTGGAGAACCGGTAGCGGAAATTTTGAGTAGTTCAGAGAACCGGCAAATACCATCTCTGGCTGGCTCCAGAGTGGGGAGGGAGTGGGGATTTTGCAGTATCCTTTCCCCAGGAGTGAGGAGGGAATGGGGATTTTGCGGTACCCTTCCCCTGCCACGCCCACCAAGCCACACCCACGGAACCAGTAGTTTAAAAAAATGAATTTCACCACTGATATATATTTGTTGGTTCTTTTAATATCAGCTGTAAAAAAAGCTGTTAAAATCCACAAATGAAAATATATCAACCAGGCTAGATGAACATTTGAAGTAACTTTGGATGAAGATGATAATGATGATTCTTCAAGCATTGTCTGTCATTATTTCCTCCTCTGTGCATTATTTAGCAAGTGGAAACATTCCTGTTATGCAGAAGGATAAGGATAATACTAATGTCAATGCTGACGTGCAGAAATTACAGCAGCAGTTGCAAGACATAAAGGAACAGGTAAATTAAATCAAATATGACAATAATATACTTTGTTAGAAAACAATTATGTGAATATTTTCAGGGTAAGTGCTACATAATGAAAAATTCAAATGATACACATATTGAGGGCAAAATATTCTTCAAGTTTACTAGATTCCATAAACATCAGGGATTTGTCCAGGTAGTCACCAGGTGTCAACACTAACTCAAGGGCTAAATAAATAAATATTTTAATAATAGATATTTTCCTGACTTTTTAAAAAATAAAATATACAGAAATATATTTCTTTATATCTCAGAAAAGCATAGTGTGATATAAATGTAAAAAGTAGAACTTGCATGTGTAAGTACAATTGGTGTGCAAGATTAAAGATTTTGAGGCATTATTTCCATTAAATCTTAAATGGTATTTTACATGGACAAACATCTTTGCAGATACCTACTTTATAAAGTATAAAATCAGGAAATACTGTATATCTTTGCCTGAGATTTATTAAAAAAAATTTTTTGGAGAGTATTTTTTCCTTTCATTGTACCTTATTGTCAGACATGAAGACATTCACTTTCTTGAAATAAACCAATCTGAAATATAATTTTAAAAATAGACAGTGCTTGTGAGGCTTTCCTTTGAAGCCTTAATAGACAGCAGTGTTAAATTCAACTCTATTTCTTTTGAACTAGGGGAGTGAGGAAGTTCTACTGCGATGCTACTGCTTGGGGAAGTATCCATCATGATAATAAATATATTTATCCCTCATTCCCTCTGCCCATTTCTGCTTTAGGGAATAGTCACCTTCAGCAGTTGTAACCGCCATGGTATAATGTGAGTCCTTCATTAGGTGATTTCTTATTTGATAGTTGTCTTAAGTTCTGTATAATAATGTATTAAAATAGTGTATTTAATATAAGCTAAACTACTTCTAGGTAGTTAACATCTAGGTAGAATGATGTTAACTCTCCTTATATTTGCCGTTTGTTTCTGCAGTTTGAGTTTTCTGGAAGTATATGTATACAAGATTAAGTACTATAGTTGATTATTGTACTCCCAAGGAAACGTTTATTTCTTCATTTCTCTTTACAGACCATGTGCCCTGTATGCTTGGACCGCCTGAAGAATATGATCTTTCTCTGCGGTCATGGAACCTGTCAGCTTTGTGGGGATCGAATGAGTGAATGTCCTATCTGTCGAAAGGCTATTGAACGAAGAATTCTTTTGTATTAAAATGTCAAGTGTCTTATGCTTGTGACATTATGACTACATTTTGCTTTTTGGATCCCCATAAATTAGTATGAAAGGTAGTTGTAAAGATATGTCTAGCATTACAGGAAGAGTTACATTGTAAATGCTGATGTCTACAACACAGATTATTATTTGCACAATCAACTTCTACCATGAAGAAATTTAAAGTAAGATTGGATTACTTATCAACACAGTTTGTTTATATCTTCTTCTCCAGAACCCCTTTATGTTAAAGGGATAATCCTGATTTTCTAGCTTGGCATTTTTGTTTTACACGTAGACTCTTAATTTCAATGATATTAATTTTTATAATGTCAGTTGCTTTTGTGTACAAATATTTTTAATTTTCTAATTTTCATAGTAATAATGTCGGTCAAACTACAACAACAAGCTAAAGAATCTAGCTAAGTTGAGGAATTAAAACATTTGACATAATAACTAAATAGCATTTCAGTATTACATATTGCCTTTAAAATCTGAAAGCTGATAATTCTGCATGGTCAGTGGGTTTATTTGTTGTTGTTTTTTAAGAAAAAGGAGATCAAAAGTAATTTAGCATGCATTCTCATGACATATTGATCCTTCTATAATTTTCTATTAGAAATACTTTTTCCAGAACTCAGGGAAATTCCAGATGTGTTTGAAAACAATACAGGCTGTTACTAGTAATAAAAAGAGAACTGTGCAAGCAAACTCTTACGCTTGAAGGCTATTTTGAATCTCACCTGATGAACCAATGTTTAGGACAGTGACAAAATACATTATATTATTTGCATAGTTATTGTTTTAAATATGCTTTCTGGCTACAGGGTTATATCCATAATTTGTCATATTTAGACTTTGTTTTAAGTCAATGAATATTGAATTAGTTAAAAATTATAGTGTCTAGTTAACTACTTTGCAAAAAGCAAATATATATCAAGATTATATAACAACTGTAGCAAGAATGTTCATTATTTTTGCAAATGTCACAATATTTGTCATCTGCCTTTACTATCAATCCCTCTGGGATTTGAGATAATTCCGTTAATATCTTCATTTTAATAGAAATATGGAAGGACTTAAGACATGTTTTGAATACTCCATGGTATGATAAATTGGAACACCAAATATTAAATTACTTTCTAAAGATGATGCATGATTTTTACATTTGTAACTGACAGAAGTGCCAGTTCTTGTATTTATCATCAGTGAATTCTTATAAGCATATGAGTTGCTTTTCCTCTTAATTATTTAAGAAAATTGCTTGTGGGAGTATTGGATATTTGGTGAAATTACCAATCTTTGCCAAGTTTTTTTTGTATGTTTAGTTGCTACTGCAAATGTCTGCAGATTGCATTGTAGCAGTGTTGATCATGTATTATACCAACTTTTCCTGGCCCAGGAACCTACCTGTATCTCTAATTTTATTTTATTTTTTAAAAAAATCTTTTTCTTAAAGCATATAAGCCTGAAAATAGGCACATTATTTCTCTGTTAGGGTTACACTACCACACTGTTTTCAGCATTTTCCTCCTAAAATTTCTCTGGGCTTAATATTTTGGTTCTGCCCTTTCCAGGAATGATGTTTGTCTATTTCTGCAACCCTTGGAGGGCAAGGTTTTCTCTTTTTTTTAAGTTATCCTTTCCTGATATATTGTAGAACACTACACCAATATATAGTTGTAGAGATTCATTTAGTAAAATGTCTCATATATTGACAATATTTTTGGTAATGAAAGTGTTTTAAGACTTAACTTTTGAAACTGCCAGATATCCAGATTTCTGTATTGGTATAATGAAATTTGCATACATACAAATTTGGAATAAACACTTTTGAGTATATTATGCTTAATTCTTAATAAACATAGATAAGAATGACATGATTTTGCAGCATAACCTTCTTTTAGCTGCATTAACATTATTGGCCCTTTGGAACTTAATTATATTAGTTTAAAAGGAAGCATAAAAAGAAATTGGTTTGGGAATGAAGTATAAATCTGTTAAATCAGTGAACAAACCAAACAGAAACCACTGTTTTAAGTTGGTGGTTATAATCACTGTAATATTTCTTTATTGCTGTTCCTTCATAGCCCTTGCCAGGATTTGATTGGAATTTTTTTTACAACTGTGCTTGGGAAAGGGCTAGAAAAATCTTTTTTTTATCTCTGAATATTAGATGCAACATGGCACCATTATCACTTGCCATTTAATCTATAATTTCATATGAAGTATAGATCTCAGCTAAAACATCCAGCTTAATTTTTGAATTTTCTTGCTTCTCTTTCCTATTTTTTGTAACATCTTATCTGAAAAACAGTTCTGGAGAATTCAAGCATTTGCATATCCTTTTATGGCATTTTGGTTGCAATAAAAATATTTACCCCAACTACAGAATTTGGTTATTTTTTTCTTCATGAATTGTTATAATTGTTTTACGCTCACTTTCTGTCAAATATACTCAAAATTATACATTTTTAGAACATTCTTTTTGTTTTGATTGGGAAATTCATTCCTGACTTGCGTAATAGTCTTTCTAATTTAATTATTTCCACAGGCATTAGCATGCTTATATACAGAAATATTTTTAGACTAGTATTTATTTATATAATAATTCAGAGGTATCCAATATCTAAATATAAACAATTGTTTAAATTGATTTGGGGCATCAAGTTTATGTTAGGAAATATGCTAAACATAGCATATATGTGTTGAATAATATCCCCCCCTCCCAAAAAAAAAGGATAGTTACCAAAGATTCAGTAGCCAAATTTCTTGTTGCTTACAGACTTACTGTCTATATCCAACCCTGCCTCAGTTTCTGGAATACAGTTAGGATAGCTCTCTCCTTGTTAATATTGAGAAGACAGAAGAAACTGCCGCCTTCGTGCAGTGTCTAGGAACCAAACACAATCAAATGGAAGAAAAAACAATAATGCATGTAAGATGTTCAATATTGGAAAGAATGATAAGAAGTGCTATACTGACCTCAAATAAAATATATGACTCATATTGAATCTTAACTTTTAGATTGCATAATAATTATGTTAAGCTAATAATGTTGAAGCAAAAGGACACAGTTTTTCGAGATTCCTTTGTTAAGTAGTTAAATAGATTTATTTAACATTTGTATAATGCATCTAATTGTTAAAACATATGAAACTAGACGTTGGATTTAAATTTTTACTTGTATTAAAATGCAAGTTGAAAGTTGAAATGGATAGCCACATCAAACTATTTTATAAATATATATTATAATTTTGTCAGGAAACTAAATGGCAACACAACAAGCAAGGTATGTGGAACACAGTTTGCTTCCTCCAAGATCTCCAGCAATGTGCCAACTCCAGTGCTTAACAACCATGGTTCTTTAACTGTTTAACCCCATTATCCTTTTTCCCAGTCTCAATATCATTAGGCTCACAAAAAAACCTCCAATTCTCATGTTTTACATCTCAGCAGCAGCAGCAGTCCCAAACTCATAAATGGTGAGTCTTCAATTCATAAACAAGCTATTACTAAATGCTTCATTACATATATACACTTGAATATGCCCCAATTGTCTTCTTGGGCATAATTACCCCTCACTTTAAGAATTGCTTTACACTGTGCCAATGTTTTTCTGCAGCTGTATATATTGGAACTGAAAGGGACAACCAGCAAAACCTTACAAAATGGCTGGCACTATTTCATAGCTAATGTGGGAAAAGTGCAATGTGCTTACTAGGAGTTTCAGTTTTTATTTCTTTGGTGTACAATATACAGTGGAAAATGACAAGACACATTTCCAACACATGCAATTCATAACATACACATACAGCTATGAAAAAGTCCTGCATGCTTTACAGTTTATGACATTTTTTGGATAGGCCATTGATTTTATGATATTTTATGCTAACTACTATGCAAATATTATATTTAAATAAATGCTGGTGGTTTTTAAGTGAAAAGCATGAGCTTTTTGCAATTTGGTGCTGTTTGGATGGGGATTGTGAATTTTCTTCCATGCTTACAACGCATGCTTACAATGACTATGAAAACAGATTAACTNGGACAACATTCCTCCAGGCCTTCCTATCCTCTACCATCCTCTGGAGTCCATTCAAGCTCACGGCAACTGCTTCGGTGACTCCATCCAGCCACCTAATTGTCTGTAGTCCCTTTCTTCTTTTGCCCTCAGTCGTTCCCAGCATTAGGTTCTTCTCCAGTGAGTCCTTCCTTCTCATTAGGTGGCCAAAGTATTTGAGTTTCATCTTCAGGATCTGGCCTTCTAAAGAGCAACCCTCCAAGAATTCTCAGCTATGACCACATTGGTTGTGGAATTCTGGAAATTCAATCCCTCCAATATGGAGAGTGCCAGACTGGGAAAGGCTGACATGTTCAATTTCAGATGCTATCTAGAACTTTGAGACTGTTCTCAATTGATGGAAGGAGTGAAGAAAATTTTCATACCAGTCCTGCTTTGAAGATGCTTTGTGGGAGACTGGCTGGCTGAATCCAAAGAAATTCTAGGTGTGGTGAAGGATGAAGAGGAAGGAAGAGGATTTCTTGGGAAATCAAGAACTTTATTGCTCTTTTAAACTGAACCTCAAGTGCCAAAGTGGGCTATATTGGTTAAGCGAGGTTTAATCCATGGAAAGTTGAGAGCGGGAAATGAAATAAATATCAGAGTGCTACAATACAAACAAACAACTCCAGCCCACTCGGTGTTGCAGTTCCTCCCCTGCTGAGAACAAACCCCCAATGTGGCAGACACATTACGAGGCAGGGCTGTGGCCAAAAGCTTAAGTGGAAAGCTAATCCCAACCAATTCGTGTTCTGCTCACAGCAATGTGTGCCAGATTGCTGTCCTAGTTCAAATGCTGCAACTGAGACATGGAACAGCACGAAGGCCTCCCACAAAAGGCCTGCACAAGAGAAGCCAACTTAAGTGTACCCAATCCTCTCCTCTCTTAATGTAGGCACACCAGCCCCATTCCCTCCTTTAGGGTTGCATTGTTTCTCTTTAATGAAACCACAGCTTAGGCTACAAGCAATATGGTGGAGGATATGGGTGTGCTCAATAACTTTACTGACTTTTGTATTGCCAGCTTATTGATTCACGAGCCTATTGTAGCAAATCAAGCTTTGAATTTGCTGGAAATGACCATCTGATTCTGTTGAAGCTGATCTTATTATTATGTCATCTTATCACATATAGTAATAGATTTTAATTATTAATCACATTGAGATCAGAATGTTTCTTTTTAATAAACATAAGGCCCATCTGTTTACTTCAGAATGTTTTCCTTTAATGCCTCTATTCCTCACTCCTTTTTTTGGTTGATTTTCACATTTGGGTTGCATTATATGAGTGTTACAGCACAAAATTAATTTGAAATCTTGCCGCCAACCTTCAAG